TTCTCTTCCCTTTCTTTTTATTTTTCTGCACTATATTACTCTTGTTTATTCTGCACAATAACTTATAAATTGCTAGCTGGGATTACACCTCATAACTGGTTTGCGCCTTAACTCTTAGAACCCTAAATTTCTTATTTATTCTCAAAATATTCTTAAGATTCTCTTAACTAAGTTTTAAATAAGTATCATTTTAAAAGTCTTAAAACTAATAACAAAATTAGTTTTGATATTCTACTATTCTTTGATATTTGGTTTAGAAGTTTTAAATTTTGATTATGAATGCTTCTAATCAATTTAGGTAATATTTATGTTAAATTTTATTCACTTTTAACAGGATTTAGAAAATGAGATTAAATTATTAGTGCATTAAAGAAAAACAAAACTAATTTTAACATTCAAAAATTATTTACGTTGTGCTAGAAATTTGAAGTTATTTTTTATTGTTCTTAGTGCCTCTAGTGATGTAACCCATAAGAACTTTCAAAACTTTTCAATTTTTACAAATGTAAAGGAGTATAAGAATTTGTTTATAATTTATACCTTTTATTATGTTTTTATTGATTTGAATGTTAATGTGTTTTATAGTTATGCTTTCTATTTGATGTTAATATATTTTTACATTATCTTATATATTTAATAATGTTAAAAATCGATTAATCCGACTGAACCACACCGATCCGATTTAAGTTAGATTGGTTTGATTATCATATAATAGTGGATTGGATTGGTTTAAAAATTTTATTAACCGATTAAATTGAATTAATTTAAAAAATAGTAAAATCCGAACCAAACCACACCGTGAACACCCCTAAATCAACCTAATGTCAATCTTGAATCCCCAAAACAGGTGATATTAAATCTTTTTAATGCTCCGACTACCTTATCTGTTGCTCCAAGTACCAAACCTTGGTATTTTGATTATGTTTGTTGTAACCATATGTCTTCAACTACTGCTTATCTCTCTTCAATGTCACCAAATAATTCTTTTCCTAATATTATTCTACTGATGGTTCCCTATGAATGTCAGTCACATTGGCAATATTTTTACAAAATCATTGACTTTACCAAATACTCTCTTGGTTCCAAAACTTAGTTATAATCTTCTATTTGTTGGTCAATTATGTAATATTGGCCTTGAAGTAACATTTTCCGCTCATGGTTGTCGTGTGCAAAACCCACAAACAGGACAACTTCTTGGAACTGGTTGCAAGATAGGCATATGTTTGAACTCAATTATCTACATATTCCACATCATAAAATGGATACACCATCATTTCCAAATGATTGCTTCATCCAAATCTTGCTTTATGTTGTTGAATTAGAGTCTTTACAAATTCCATACCAACAAATTTTGCAAACCTGTGCTATTACTAACATTTTTCCTCTCCATTTGTGGCACTCACAACTTGGGCATATCTCAACTGGTAAATTTCATCCACTTATCTCTCGTGGTTTATTAGGATCAATTCTAAATGAATCCTTGTATTGCGTGTCATGTCAATTTGCAAAGCAACTAGCTTTATCATTTTTGAGTAGTCATTCTCATTCTACTGCTCCTTTGGATCTCATGCATTATAATGTTTGAGGTCCATTTCCTAGACCCACCATGAAGGTTCCAAGTATTTTGTGTTACTTATTGATGATCATACTTGTTTTACTTTGCTATTATGGTCAAAGCTCAATTCTCTAAAATTATCAAAGTTTTAAGAACTGACTATGCTACTAAATATGTTGGTACTAAACTTCAATCCTTTTTGAAAGAACATGGTACACTAACACAACAATCTTGTCCTTACACTTTTGAACAAAATGGACAAGCTGAACAGAAACACAAACACATACTTGATTCTATTCATGCTCTGCTCATCTCGTCTTCTTGTCTAGAGCGATTTTAGCATGAAGCTGCTTTTACAACTGTTTATCTCATTAATCACATTCCATCATCAATCCTTAATAACCAATCTCCATACAAGCGTTTACATGGTATTCTTCCTACCTATGATCTTAAGATTTTTGGTTGTGCATCTTTTATTCTTCTTCTACCTCTTGAACATAAGAAGTTAGAGCCTAGAGCTCAATTATGCTGTTTATTGGGTTATGGGATTACACAAAAAGGATATCGTTGTTGGGATTCTATGTCACAAAAATTTCAAGTTTCACGTCATGTTATCGTTTGGAAACACAGTATTTTCTCATTTTTTGTCAAACTTTAAAGTGTTGTCCTTCCATCAACCTCCATTTTTTACTAATCCTTCTGTTGAGCTATTTCCTAGCAGTTCTGATGTAGGTACATCTGATGAGCTCTACAATGCCTCACCACATGCTTTAACTAGTTTTGTAGAAGATGATCTACTTGTTGGTAATGCATTAAATAATTCTAAGCCTTCCTCTACTTCCTCATCTGTGTCACCTGTCGATGTTGCATGTGATATTATTGAGTCTACAAATGAGTTTGTCATCCCATCATTGAGTCATCTTACTTGAGTATAGAGCTCTCGATGATACTATATTAGAACTTCTTTCATTACAATGGCTTTTTGAAGATATATATGGGCATTCCTCAACCTTCTTCTAATGATTTATATTGTGATAATCAAAATACTATATAGATTGTTCACACTGATATCTTCCATAAACACACAAAACATATTGAGATTGATTGTTACTTTATTCATCATCATGTCGCAAAGGGAACTATTTGTTTGGTTTTCATTAGTTTTGCTAATCAACCTGTTAATTTGTTTACCAAGGCTTAGTTCCTTGAATGCTTCCAAACTCAAGTTGGTTTCTTTACCACCACTTTGAGTTTGCAGGGTGTTAGAATATAAGATTCATTTTAAAATATTATATTTACAATGTAATTAATTATATATATTTAAACTAATTGGTTTCATACCTAAAAATATTTTATTATATAATTTTATATCCAAGAATATTCTATTGTGTAGATTTATATATAAAATCTTTATTTATATAATGAAAATAAAAAAACAATAAATCTTTATTCAAATTATTTTTCTTTTCTGTTTCCAACAGTATGGAACGGTTTAATTTATATGCACGCAAATTGTGGTGATCTCGGTACTGCTCGCTTCTTGTTCGATGAAGTTGTTGCCTGGAATGCAATGTTTGCTGGGTATTGTAAGAGCGGAAGTTGGCCAGAGATTGTGAAGTTGTTTTACAAAATGCGGGATGAGGACGGTCGGTTTAATGAGGTTACTTTGATGAGCGTTTTGACTGCGTGTGGGAGGTGGGTAACATTGAACTGAGGAACGGGCTCAGGAAGAATCTTGGTCAAATGACTTCTCTTGTTAATATTTATGGAAAGTGCGGTAAGTTCGAAACTGCTATAATCTGTTAGATCAAATGCCTCAGAGAGATGTTATCGTATGGAGTGCCATGACTCTGGTTATGGTCAGGCAAGGCGATGTAAGGAGGCAGATGCAAATGGCAAATATTGATCCCAGTGAAGCTACTATAGTCAGTGTGCGTTATTCTTGTGCTGTACTCGGAGCTCTAGAAACAGGTAAGTGAGTTCACTAGTATATTAAGAAGAGAAGGATGATGCTTACTGTTACCCTTGGAACTGCATTAATGGACTACTATGCGAAATGTGGATCAATAGACAATGCTATAGAGGTTTTCAAAATGATGCCTTAAAAAATTGTAGTCACTTGGACAGTGCTAATTCAAGGTCTTGCTTGTAATGGACAAGGAAAAAGGGCCTTGAAGTTCTTCCATTTGATGAGAAGAAGAGATATCAAATCAAATGATGTTACTTTCATCGGAGTTCTTTCTGCTTTTAGTCATAGTTGTGTAGTTGACGAGGGCCAGGAATTCTTTATCAGCATGAGTAGAGATTTTGGAATTGAACCAGGTATGGAGCACTATGGTTACATGATTTTCTTGGTTGAGCTGGATTGAGTGAAGAAGCATCAAGCATATCAGTCCATAAAGAACATTCCTATCCTACCCAATGCTGTTATCTGGAGAACACTTTTGGCAGTATGCAGGGCTCATCATAAAAGTGAAAAGATTGGAGCGGAATCGATGAAGCACATATCAGATTGGAAACAGTCACATAGTGTGTTTACTTCTGTCTAACTTTGATGCATCAGTTGATAGATGTGAAGCTGCACTGAGAGTAAGGGATCAAATGAAAAAAAAAAGGGATTAAGAAATCATCGGTACCTTTTGTGTCCAAAGATCTATCTTCTGATAAATGTATAATTATGATCACCTAGAACTCTGATCCCACTTACAGTAGCTTCAAATTATAGCACGGCATGGTTTCATCAATCATAATGTAATTTATTTATTCATTTAAAATTGGCTAACATCATCAAAATATACTTTCAGTACAAATTCCTTTTGTCTACTGACTTCTTGTTTTCGTCTTTCCTTTTCTCACCAAAAGAATTAACAGCACTCAAAGCAGAAAAAGAAACTTCGTGGCTTGTTTTCAGACCCTGCTTTGGGGGTTTCCCCATAGTCATCACGGACAGCCATCAAAGAGCTTGCACCTGGAGATTCTGGTGGCAAGATGGTGTTTTCAGAATGGAAAATTCGAGGAGGAATCATGGGTTCAGGAGGACAAATGGTCGACGGATAGTTTAGTAGCACTTCGATAATTTGACTAAAATTAGGGCAAGCATTTGGATCCTCTTTCCAACATGAAGTTAAAACTATAGACAACTCTTCTGGAAGGTTTTCAGCACTAGGCCTCACATTCTGGAACAGTAAAATATTATCTCAAATATCAGCAAGATTTAGCAAAAAACTGGAGAAGCTATATGGAAGAGCCAATGAATCTACATAGAAGATGAGAATACTTTGTTAAAAGAGAGGCATAAATATTACCTTGAAAGCAGCTGTATATGCTGCCTGAAGATTTGACATGCCTTCAAAAGGCAATTTGTTGTGGAGGAGCTCCCACAGCACAATTGCAAAGCTATAAGCATCCACCTTATGGTTATAATGCTTCTTCTCACCCTGCCTTAATGTGACAGTACTGTACAACTAAAACAACATAGAAGCAATTTTAGCACTATCTAAATGGACCATGAGGTGAGGACGGGTGGAATGAGAGGTGAGAAAGACACAAAAGCTAAAAAACATTGATGATGAAATACCTATGGAGCCATCCAACGATATGTCCCTGTTTCAGCAGTCATCATTTCTGTTAATGATTCTTCCCGTGCTAAGCCAAAATCTGCCAGTTTAACTGTTTTCTGATCTGCTGTCAAGAGCAAGTTTTCTGCAGAGAGTACATAGAAATATATGAACAAAATTTCTTAGAAGACTAAAATCAAATTTCACGTATGCATATCTCAATGGCAAACCTTCTCTACCAATAAAAAATTGTGTACCGAAAAGGCAGGTAATCTAACTTTTTGAAATCTTGATACTTTCTTAAACATCTTTTAAACAAAGAACCTTTTGCAGTGAAACAGAATTTTCACATATGCGGTTGGATTTGGAGTTAACAAGAAATAGCCCACGTCAATTTAATTACATTCATTTGAGTACAACTGGTTTGCTTACTAATAGACATATTCATAAAAGGACCTTTTGTAAGCAGTCATCTCATCAAAACACTGCATCACAAACATCTGCAACACAGCAGGCACCAAATCAATTTAAATAGCAGCAAAAATGAGCCGTAGAGAGTGTCATACTAAATTCTAAACACATTGTCACATTTAAACAAAGCTCCTTGATATCTACCATTTAATTCTGCATGCTTGTTCTCATGGCCAAGAGTGTCAGTTAAACATGGTTCATACCAGAGTAAAAATACAGCCTTCGGCAGAATACTCAATTCTAGCATGCAAAGATCCTAAAACTTAACTAAGATTTGTATAAAGAAATAAATTTGAGATTTTAAAGTAACAAGGATAATTAACTCATACTCCAAGCCCTAACCCACACACTCACCCTACGGTATCCAACAAATGTTGGCATTAGGTGTATCCACTGCTATTGCTTGCCAAAAAAAGAAAAAGAAAAATGATAACTAAACAAAGTTAGAAAAGCAATGTGATTCAATAACCATGAGACATTGAGAGTGGACACCATAAATAAGGCGTCTCCCTCTATTTTAAGCCCCAGTCAGTTAAATGTCAGACATTAATAGAGAGATAATAAAAGTAATAGTACCAGGCTTCAGATCACGGTGTATGATTCCATGAGAATGCAAACATTCCATAGCACGAGCAATATCAAGAGCAAAACCAATAGCAACACCCATATCCAATCTCCTTGGTCGCATATTCAGCAAATATTTACGCAGTGTCCCCCCCAGTAGAAGCTCAGTAACCATCACCATTACAGGCTCCTTGCAGGCCCCAATAAACTGTTCATGTTCAATATCTATTGTTAAAGATAGAGAACACTCGCATGATGGTCACTTTCAACTTCAGTTAAATGGAGATGTGAAGAGCATTAATCCAAAGAGCAATGAGAAAAATGCTACCTTCACTAGATTTTTATGCTGAACTCTGGACAACATTGCAACTTCTCGTGCAAACCGTGCTTCTCTCTTGGCTATCTCTTCTGGAGTTTCTCCTTTATGAACTATTTTAATTGCAACAGTCTGGTTTTTATATCTGCACATAATCCCATAAAAAACTCCCAATAAATTATCAAGAAAAAGAGAGGGCAAAAGAAAAATCAGTGAGGGGTTGACAATGTATCTAGACGCCTATTAGCTAATATGACCCACCAAGGAAACAGATCCAAATCTTTCTTGAGGGGTCAAGCCAGCTTCAACAATGAAAAGCAAACTGACTTCATAGCTAACATAACCATTCCCAACAAGTGGCCCTAATTCCTAATTACTTTCATAGGAAAAAGATCAAATTTCCAAGAAAGAAAAAGCAGTATAATCCAGAATCTTTTGATAAATGTGACACCAAAGGGTTAATGGGATTGTCTAAAGCCGATCGAAAAAAAAAAAAAAAAAAGGGATTGTCTAAAATACATGCCACGTACCTAGAAACTGAAAAAAGGATGGGAAATTTGCAGACTTACTTTCCCTCATAAACTTTGGCATGAGCTCCCTCTCCAATTCTTGGCCCAACAAAGAGATGCTTTGGATCAATCAGCCATTTAGCATCCAAAATGAACTCATCAGCCGAGAAAAACCTACCCTAGATTCCATATTTCTAAAACAGGAAAGAGCTCAACATCTATCACTAGACCATAAAATTCGGGTGATGATATCAAACCTTTTTATATTATTTTTTCATATAATTTTCACTTATTTAATAGATACATTTAATATAATAAGTAATATATAAATTAAAAAAATTAATTATTTTAATAATAAATTAGATTATAAAAAAAATTATAAAAAATCATTTCCCCTAAAATTCTATAGTATCCATCACCCATTATTAAATAGTAAATACTATCATACCATTACAATTTACAACCCGAACTCTAGAAAGGAAAGCGTTGAGAGACTAATTCACCTACGGTACGTGGATAAGCTGACATCAAAGAGAGAAGAATACAAGACATGCTCTGTACCGTGCTCTGTTTGAGAACACCACATCTCAAGAATCAAAGTTAACGGGGTTGATGGCATACATATAACCCAGAGGGGGCAAAAGAAGGGAACCCCACATGTAGCGTGCATTGTTGTTGAGAAACACCAAAACACCAGAAAAAGCAGAGAAGAAAAAGCTCATAGCCCAAAGAATTTTCTCGAAAATTCATGGAGAAAAGAGAAGAATCCTCCTAAAGGGGCGAGAGGAAAAGAGGACCTGTGAAGATAAACTCTTAAGGAAGATTAACAAGAACTATTCTCTTCTAATCTTGCATAAATATTCTAGGAAACATTAGACCATTATAATAAAATGGGGAGATAGGTTTTTTGAATTTGTTTAATCATTATGGATGCAGAGGCTCAATCTTGATCTACAGACAGAATCATTGGGAGGATTGAGTTCATGTTCAATAAAGAAAAGAGGAGAGGAGAGGAGAGAAGAAAAGGAAGAGATAATTGTGAATATTGAAATGAGGACTGTGAAAGCCTTAAACTGATGGAGAGCACATGGAAACCGATCTTGTAAAACAAGGGGACAATCCACTCAATAAGAAATGCCTGGACGGGGTATTCCCTTCTATGCTTCAATGGAATAGGTCCCCTTTTCCCTTTTCTTTTATTCACTTTCCTAATTTGGTTTGAATGGAGAATTGTAGTATAAAAGCGCTATGGTTCAAAATTTAATAATATTAAGTGTATTTATCAAGTAATTCATAAAATTTAATCTATCTTTTTTACTTAAACTTATAATGTCATGTATATCATTAGTGTTGGAAGCATGTTTAGGTATTGCTTAGTATTAAGAGTTGGGGTTATTATTACATTCTAAATAGTTAATACTATATTTTTTTAGCATATTATTTATTATATTCTTATATTATACTTTTTTCTCAAAATGCTACAGTTTTATTTCTGAATAAACTAAAAGGTATAATAATCAATTAAGATAAAAAATACAACATTAGTAATTGAAGGTATAACAATAACATTACCCAATATTGCTCCACCACTTACCCTCACCTTATGTGGTGCTGCTATACGTTTTTTCCTTTTCTTTTTGAGAAAAAATTTGATTAGTTTTAACAAATTTTTTAAAAATATAAAACAATGCCTAGATTACTTAGATGATGCTTAGGTATCTCCAAAATGTTAAGCAATGGCTCAACAGCCGCATAACACTTTCTGCAGCATTGAGTGTTTTAATTCTCTATATGGCTATAAATAAATTAAATTATTAATAAATTACCCAATTCATATTAGAGTTTAACTCGAGTTCGTTTTCATAACATGAGTTCTAAACCAAATTTCAAGCAACTTGACTGGACAATTTTTTCAATCCTAGAGGCCAAAATAGTGGGTCAAGGAGAATAAAGACCGGGTCAAAACCAGTCATGTCACACGAATAAAAAAATTAAAAAAATTAAAAAGCCCCAAAAAAGGAAGTAACATCATGCAAAGTTAGGCATGGCATTTCCTCCCTTTTCTCGCTAACACTTCTAAAAAAATTTATCATTTTTCTATTAAAAAAAATGGTAAAGCAACTTCAAATAACGTGATTCCACAAGTTACATTATGCATTAAATGTATAACTAAAAAAATAAATATATACCGGTACGATATTATAAAACTACCGTATTAAAAAGTACACTAGCTCTATTGTTTTTCATACCATATATTGCAAGCATGGTAACATAAATAATCATTACAGCATGAATAGGAGGCCAAAAAAATAGAAATTAAGACATGGACAATTAATATATATACCATACCATACCATATCATGTTCGGTGGCTTAAAAACCAAACTGAAAATTTCACATCCAACGCTGGGAATATATATAAGCAGCATCGCTGAAAAAGTTCCGGACTTTACTAGTAACAAGAAAAAGTACTGCACTTGATTATTTATTTATAGCATCTATTTATCATATATGGGATAAATATTCTTCATCTAAGCCTTCTCTCCAGTTAAAAGATCCATGACCACACCCTTGATGCTCCCATTATTCTTCTTAAGCAGCTTCATATTCATTTCTGCATCACGGAAGCCCTGCATAAAAACAAATTTTGTTCTTTTAGACTAAACGCGGCATACCTACATTTAAAAAATAAAAAACGGAAATGACTTCTTCAGACAATTTACCATCTCCTGAAGCTCCTCAAGAATTGGATCCCACTCAGTGACGCCACATAGATCTTCAACAGTCTTCTCCAAATCATATTCATTCAACCTCAAGACCTCCTTGTTCAAATCAACCTGTTTGAAACCCATCTCTGCAAGTTCCTTAAGGAGGGTCTCTTCAAGAACATGGCTTTCACCAATATCTTGAGATGAACCTGGCATACCCTTTGGAGGAATGGCTGGTGGATGGGTTGATCCAGCAAGGAAATCCTCACCTGAAGCAGGTAATGACAATTCAGAAGGGATCAGGATATCTAGATCAATGATGGGATATGACACAGATGAGGGCAGTGGATCCTTAGGAGGAGCATGGGCTGATGATGAAGGCAGCACAGAGACAGAGGTAAATGGAGTTTCAGCAAAAACAGAAGCTGTCTTAGCCTGTGGAGGAACAGAGGATGGAGCCTTTTGGCTAAGTGATGACAATGCAGGAGGGATTAGGATATCTTGATCAATGATGGGATATGACACAGATGAGGGCAATGGATCCTTAGGAGGAGCATGTGCTGATGATGAAGGCAGCACAGAATCAGAGGTAAATGGAGTCTCAACAAAAGCAGAAGCCGTTTGAGCCAGTGGAGGAACAGAGGATGGAGCCTTTTGGGTAAGTGAGGTTAAAAGAGCTTTTGGAGGAGCAGGGGCTGATGGAGTCAGCATAGGTGCACGCATGGAGACTGGGACACCATCAACAAGCAGCAGATCATTGTTAATTCTGTAATCAGTTATATGCTCCTTGTTTGAATGTTGGTCAACCACCGGTGTTATTGGTATAGTGACATCCACTGCAGAACCACTATCCATATCCACAAAGTCTCTCAGACCACTGCTTGCAGGGGGCAAATTCAAGTTTAATCCTTGGAGAGTACCAGAAATAGAGTCCTCCAGAGATGCATCAACCTGCATGACAGAATTCAAGCATATATACCCACAGATTATGTCACTGTCAAAAGAATATGAGCAGGATGGAAGATTGCTGTTCTTGCATTTGCAAGAAATACCTGAATAAGGACCCAAACACGTTGCCCAAATTTTATGCCAGATGGAGATGCCATCCTCCAGTATGAAATATAACGACCAGGCAACTCAGGTGCAGTGAAATCAACAGCAATGTCAAGCTCCCCATCTATAGGTACCCCTTCTGTGGGAATCTGGCATGAGTTGAGAGAATTATACAATAATCAATACATGCACCAACCAAAATTCATAAGGAAGAATCAAACAAACATGAATAGAATCTGCAATTGAAGTGAGAAACACTCTACCTCCATATCCACAGAGACTGCATCACTGAATTTGTCTCCCCCAATCCAGACGAGTTGTGACCTATTGGGCCAGGGTACATTACCATGGTTGCACATCCGCCAAATCTTTGTAAATGGTGTAGATGGAGCCATTACGGTCCCATCCAGTATATTAACATCCATGATGAAGCGACTATCAAACTTAGGCCTACCAAGCTTCATTCCACGATTTCTGCAGATATTTGGTAGTGCCGGACCACCTCCAATTTTCTGTAAACATAAGCACTTCACTGCATCAGCATCAGTGAAGAGAGAAGAATTGAAGAAAAAAAAAAAACAAGTGAGAAATATCAGTCATTAGACCTTCATAAATCTTGCATGACGGAAAGATACAGGCCTGTCGATTCTGATATAATCTGCTTCATTACCCATTTTTGAAAAGCAAATGCTGCAGAGGTCATAATCTTGCTTTCTGTATTCCCAAGTTAAAAACAGATTAGAGAATTCTAACTACAAATCAAAAGCTACAAATCATCATGGTTTAGCAATATCTTACACTTTGGACTTGAATCGAGGTCCAGTGATTGGATGAACCCCACATCCATCACACTGAACACCCCTGTGGAAAATTCCAGACATCCCACCAAAAGGCATATGATGACTCCAGTGACCAGAATGTGCATACAGAGGAACAGGAGAATCATCAGAAAGGGACACTCCACTGAAGGGGTCTGGTGCATTTCTCTGAGTATTATCATCAAACATATGGAAACCAACAACCTTCTTCTTGGAACGGCCATCAACTCCATTGTCATTGTTCTTGCCATCACCAGCAACAACATTAGATAGAGCTGTGTTCCATTTCACTCCAGCAGATCCAGATGGGTCAGAATCAGCAGAAGATTCCAGGTTCAGATCAACGGTAGCAGGCTGAGGGATAGCCTGTGCCTCGACACCTCTTGCCATGCTCCCAGCACTAGTCTCCTGGCCACCTTTGCGAGCTGAATCTGCAGAGGTAGATTGTGGCAAAATGTGACTCACGCCACAATCAGAAGAAGGATTTTGATCAGATGGCACTAATGGAGTCACACGGGCCTCAGAAGACCCACCCTGACTGCTGGGGTCATTAGCAACTTGAGTCCGAGCAGTAGCATCCAGGAATGATTGTCCCACCTTTGAAAGACAGTCAACAAGCTCAGTGAGCATTTGGTTCGAGGATGAAGCTTTTGAAGCAATGGAAAGCTTTGAAATGGCATCAAGGAGAGGCTCTGGAACAGATCTCAAAATTTCAGATAAAGCAGTGTTGACATTTTGTAAAGGATGCTGAACATGTGTGGACCTCAAGGGAGTAGAACTTCCACTCGATCTTGCAGAAGACTTGGAAGACTGATCGTTATCCAGCTGCACATTAACCATCAAGAATTTGAGGTCCTGCCTCATCACATCATGGAGATCACTATCATCAGCAAGAGTGACTACATCACCATCTTCATCGATATAAGTCAAAATAAGTTCAGCATCAGATGGGAAACTGTAGAGAGAAAATATTTTTTCCCTCAGTCCAGCCAAGTCAAGATCCAGCTGTCCATTTTCATTAATACGACCACTGAAGCGTCTGAGGGTATCTCCATATTTAACCTGCATGTGAAAGATGTTATTACATTATTAAGGATCTAAAATATGTAGAACTCAGTGGGAGAATGGACATAAAAATGAAAATCCATTCCAATAAGAAAACTTGCAGGCAAAAGAACTTAATAGTATTAGGTGTAAAGAATTCGGCACGCTGCCGAGAAACATTTCACCAAAACTTGAGCTAGGTAAGGGGCCAATATGTGTCCTTACTTTTTAAGATCTAGAATTAAAGGGAACTTATAACTACACATCTGAAACATAGTCAACCTATAACAACACATCCGAAACATGGTTGCCAGAAAAAAGGAGGCACAATTGCAGTGAGGTGACCAGAAAAGAGAAAAAAAGCCCTAATAGCAATCGCCACTCTAGAACCCTTTCCAACTGAAGAGGATAAAACCTTACACACGTGGAATCATACGCTAACAATCCTCACCATACAGCCAGACACCAAATTTCTTTATAAACGAAGACGTCTATTCCTACTGTTTTTTCTCAGAAAAGAAACATGGTACAACAGTTAAAATATAAACTTATCAATAAAACAAACCAATCAACAAAACTGAAACATATAAATAATGATTAAACTACGAAATCAAGAAGATCAGCTAACAATCCCAAATAATTCAATATCTATTAAACTATAAATTCAAAGACCAAATGATGTATAAACCAAGCAGCCTAAAAATAAGAGGAAATATTCAAAAAGGGGAAAAAAAACTTTAAAAAGAAAAAATGGGACTTACAGCTTTTAGCCATATAATTCGTGAACACTAGACATTAGACATGAAGAATCAGAGGAAAATACTACCCACAAGAATTTTAGGACACATAATTGAGAGAATTATCTAAAAACAAGATTTATATTTGTACTTTTCTCATCAAATACCTGAAGATCTAAACCCACAAATGAAACATAAATAATCAGCTAGAATGATAAAAAAATAAAAAAAAATAACAAGATCGGCAAACACTCCAATATCATTGATTAAACCATGAAGTCGCAAAACAAAAAATATATATGATCAAATCTTCAGAAAAATTTTAACAAGAAGGGCCAAAAAATCGAACCTTTATCACGAGGTTAGATTCCATGCCTGAATCAGTAACGCGTTCCGGTGAGCCGCACAGCGCAGAGATTATATGAAAAAGAAGGAAAACCTAACCCTAACAAAATCAGAGAAAATCGGGAAAAAAGAGATTCTGAGAGTGAAGATTTTCTGCAAAGCGTACCAGTGAGCCGCTCAGGTGGTGATATCCGAGCGAGAGAAATGCGTTTATGTTTATAGCCGCACGCGTGGCTTGCCCAATAAGAAATTTCTCTGACTTTTGATTTTCTTCTTCGCAAAGAAAGACATTTTCATTTCACCCAAACAAAAAAAAAGACATTTTCAGATGACGACCACTAGTGCGGGTAGCACCAGGACGATCAAGAACGTTGATCTCAGTTTTGCAAATAAACACTGTTCCAATAATCCAATTGACGAGCGAAACGTGGGCAGACGCATATTTCTCAATGAGATTGAATGCTGCTGATTGTAAGGGGTGTTTGCCCCCCCAAATCCACGCTAGCAAATTAGAAACTTTCATCGGAGAGAAATTAAAAAAATAATTCTTACGCACCCGCGGCTTTAGCAGTCTTACCCTAGGTGCATTTGACTCTTTGTAAATGTCAAGTTTTATCCGTTTAATGGTAGCTAAATTATATTTTAAAATTTTTTTATGTTAAAAATAAAAAACACTTTTTCACAAGTAAGAATTAAAAAAGTTATTTATTTAAATTCTTTTAAAATTTATTTAAAAGTTATTTTACAAATCAATTTTAAACTTCCTTTCAATAAAATTTTTAATTTATTAGAGAAAAATTTACTTTTAAAGCATGTTTGGCACATTTATTAGCTTGTTTAAGTCAATGTCTGTAAAAATCTAGACAGCACATTAATATTATAGTTATAAATAAATTGTAAATATATAATGAGAATGTATCATTCAGTAAGTAAGTATATATTAAAAGGGAATCTTTAGATGAAAAGATTAATTACATAATAAAATGTTATAATTGTAAGTTTATAATAATATATGTTATTGTAATAATTATATTATTTTCGCAAAATGAACCACATCTTCATCTTCTTCTTTTTTTTAAATAAAAGACTAGAGTGTTGTTTGGATGGTGGTAGTGACTAACTTTTTAGTTAAATTGTAAAAATAAGTTAAAATTGAAAATTTTTATAAGAAATTTAAAATAGGTAAGCTTCAATGTCTTATTTTCTTTTTATATTAGCAAAAAAAATAAGAAATACTTATTTCTTAAAAAATAGAGTAATATATATTTATCCTTTATCCCTTAATTTAATAAAAAATTATTAATATTAAGGGTTAGTTATTCCAACCTTTTTAAAATGGTTTTTCAAATATAATTTATTTTTATTCCTAATAGCCCTTTTTTTTAAGTTTGGAAGTTCGAATTGAAAAACTGCAAATTCTTTTAAAATTTTGAAAAAAGCAAAGACTTTAACGAAAACAAAAATGTTTATAAACAACTTTCGAAAAGGTATTGAATTATTGCTTTTTGCAAAATTTACTTGAAAGAATATTTTTTTGCTAGAAAGTTTTTCAAATTTAATAGATCAAAAGAGAAAAATAAAAAATAAGAAATGTTAAGACTATCTCTAAAATTATTTAAATACTTTTTAATAAATTTTTCTTATATGTTAATTTATTAAAGATATTTAATTCATTTCATCATCATTATTGTTGATATTTTAATTGTTAGACAAAAAAAAAACCTAATTTTTTGAAATCCATAAATAAAAATTCAAAATTGTCAAATAAGTGATGGGAATCAAAATAACTCCACATGTACCACGTCAAGAGATCCATTACACAATCCAGGAGATCCAATCATGAGATCATGAGAGCTAGAGTTAGAAAGATACAAAAAGCTTTAAATGGCCTTATTGAGCAGATATGGGTTGATAACAACATGCAACAAGTAAATCGAAACTTGGATGATTATTAAGGCATGATAAACATCATTCAGATTCAAAAGAAGCTTAATTGAGGTCATTTATGCTAAATTATACAGTTTGCGTCAAAATTTCGCAATTCTGTCGCAATTTGTAACAAACTAATATTTTATGTTATTTTAGGTTACTTGAAGTGATTTTCACATTTTTTGTATTATTTTGGACTGAACATTTATTTATTTGAGACTCAATTCGTGGTTATTAGGATTAAGGTTTAAGGTATTAATTTTCTATTCTGATTAGAATTACTTTTCCTATTTGAAGGGCTTGTAACCCTAATTGGGGGAACTATTGAATCTAAGTTTTTGAGAGACTTTTTTCTTTAATTCGTTTCAAAACTTTACAAAACTTATCAATATTATTCTTATGGCGTTATAATCTAACTTATTATTCTTGTTCTTAATCGTTTGAGGGTGTAGCGTTAACCAACTTTATACCTCTGGTTCTTGTGGTGTCATAGATAAAGGATCAAGGTTTGTATCTTTAGTTCTTGTTTGTGACATAAACAATGGGTCAATGTTCTATTATAAACTAGATTTAGCTTTTCTAGAGTTTAGAAATCTCTTGTCGTGCTATGGGTCTTATTGTTATTTTTGGGGTTCTCATCAATAAGGAACGTATATTTCAAATAAATATATTTCAGAGAAATATATTTCAAAGAAAAGGTATTGAATTATTGCTTTTTGCAAAATTTACTTGTAAGAATATTTTTTTTGCTAGAAAGTTTTTCAAATTTAATAGATAGACGGAGAAAATTAAAAATGACGAAATATTAAGACTATCTGTCTCTAAAATTATTTAAATACTTTTTAATAAATCTTTCTTATATGTTAATTTATTAAATATATTTAATTCATTTCATCATTATTTTTGATATTTTAATTGTTAAAAAAAACTAATTTTTTGCAATTCCTAATTCAAAATTCAAAATTGTCAAATTAGGAAAGTGTATTTCAGAGAAATATATTTGAATTTAATGAAGTTCAATTACTCTATTTATTTTTTAACGTAGAAAAACATTCTCCAATTTAATAATAAATATGAGTATTTTAGGTTATTTCAAACTTTAAAAACCGTGTACTTCAACCCTATAAATTTCAATTTTCAACTCTGGTATTTCATCTATTCTATGTGAAAGTGGCAACGAAGCTTTGCCATTTGCCAGTGGGTAATCTCATGTCAAGGAAGCCAAAAATACAAAAATTGAAGACTCAATCAAAGAGAAAGATTAAATTGGTGATGGGTGTGCCTAGTTGTCTCTAGCAAGATGCAGAAATCAGTGGTAGTGGCAGTTGAGAGGCCATACCACCACAAGCTTTACAACAATCAAGCACACCACCGAGTTCATGGTCCACGACAAGAACAACACTTGCAACATTTGCGACTGGTCAGATTGAATCCTTCCAGCCCATTCAGCAAGCGCAACTTGCGCAAGCATTAGGTTGTTGCCAAAAATTCTCAAAAGAACACAAATCTAAATGCCCTAATCAACAAGTAGTGTAGAGAGTGCAAGAATTAAAATAGAAGTTCTGCCGCCTTCAACTTCTTACGGTAAAGCTTTGTTAGTGATAGAAAAGACTTGGATCTTGAGAAGCAGTTTATAGAGAATCATTCATATTTCAAGACATTTCTTGCTAAGGATATGTTAGTTTTTGCTTGATAAGATGAAAATGTTGGAAAGGGAATGTCTGGCAAGTGTTTTTTAAAATGCCCAAGAGAAATAAGGGAAAAAATAATAATGGTTAGCCAGGGGAGAAACACAGGGTATGTGTGTCTATGATTGTTAAAATGTCTCAATGAGTAGATTAGTCAAATTCAATTTCAGATTTATGGTATTTTAACATATCTAAATAGTATATTTATAAATATATGTATTTAATTATATACATTTAAATATATACACTTAAAATAAACACTTAAAATTCAAACCCACTCACTCGAATGCAACATTATTGACAACTCCTAAAAAATGCTAAGCCTAATAATCTAGTCAAATGTCGTTGATGGTTTTCCTTCTCTTATTTTACATGAAATCAGGCACAAATCCAAAAATATTATGTTGGAGAGCAAAATTTCTTATGTGCTAAATGATGGAGCCAGGATTAGTTGTGAGGGGGGCCAAATTTTGGAAAAGGAAAATGAGAGAAGAAAGTTCTAATAGCATTTATTAATGATCAAAACAGAATCTATAAAGTTTTTTTTT